AAGCCAGAAGACAACCATCTCCCTTTTCTTTGATATGATCACTGTCAAAATGTTTGCTTAAAGTGCAGTGTGATGAGCAGCAAATACATAAATTATTTAGACAATAAGCAAATAGATTTGGTTGAAACGTTAGGGAGCTAAAGATATTTGGGATAGGATGTTTTCAAATACGAAATAAAATTTGCGTTTAGGTGGATATAAGATTAGGTCTACCTTAATATATACAAGCCCCTTCATGGAGAATCTTGTCGACCCACCATTCACGATCATGTTCTGATCCCGTCCGATGCTGTACAACCTCTTCAGTTGGAACTACTCGGCTAGTAACTTAAGAACCAACCAACACCGAGCTGACTTCCAGCATTTACTACTAAGTAACTTGGATTTGTGTAAGTGTGGCCGTATTTTCGACACCCCTGAGCTAGAGTGAGGATTTTTTGGCGGAAGTTGGCCTATGGTAGGGGAGACTGGGGCTGGTTCTTACAATTTTCAATTACGATTTTTTGTGCATTTATTCTTAAAGTTTACAAATTTAGCAATTATGGCTTCAAGTACTATTACTATTTGGCTATATTAATAACATTTTTTCAAAGGCCTATTCATTTTTGTTTCATCACAAAACTTGTTTATTTAAGAGAAGGCGGTTTGTGTCAATGTTCCCTGTTATGGTGCTAGTTGTTAACAGTGAAGGGGGAAATTGTTACAACACATTGTATTAATAAACAGAAGGAACGATTCTGACCTTTATTAAGTAATTAATTACAGACAATATACCAATTAACAATTAATTACAGAAATTAACTTCAAACATACGAAACATTTTCATCATATATTAGCAGCTTGCCTTAACGAGATTCTTCCAGAAGAGACTTCATCAGCTGCTAACTTAAGCGTTTTCAAACTTGTATTCCTTTTGTACGTTCGTACCGTCTTTCCTGATAAAATGTAATCATTTGCCAACGCGTGTACGATACCTTGGGTAGAACTGCGCACAGGGGAGACGCAGTAGATACGAGACTCGTGAGATGCTGCTGCTAGTGAGTGATTTTTAAACTAAAACTTGCCGTGTAACAACTAGCCCCTTCTCCCCTACATGGTGTTAATATGGAAATTCGTGGGGTTTTGGAACGGGGGCGGAATATTAAGTTATAGCAGTAATATAAAGTAAAGGGACTTGGGTTCGGGGCATAGTTGGGCGTGTGGGTGGGGCGCAAGAAGACAGTAGCGTTGAAAGAAGCAGGACATTTGCAAGATCTGCAATTAGTCTGAAGTGTCCTCGCTCCACCTTTACGTTCATTCTCGTGATGGTTATGTATGCGCATTGGGAATAGACCATTTACACGTACTGAGGGGAAGATGACATCTTTTGAGAGCACGGCTACAGTGTGCAAAGCCTGAGGTGTTAGGTCATTGTCGGTCTTGTCTTTGAGGGGAAGAGAGGGTAGATGCAAGTTCATGAATTACTCTGATTATCTTAACAAATTCCAAGTTCTGGCAAACTTCCTGCGTTTTCGAAATTACCATATGTAACACCGAAAATTCTGTTGTGGGAACTTGGCATAAGAAATCAGAAAGCTTACAACTACTAAATGTATTATAAGCGCTTTGTGAAGGTTGTATAATTTTAACCCTCTTCATGATACGAACGAGGTTTATCGATTTTAAACCGCCATCTTCTGCCCTGAATATAATTTATGACTGACATACCGAGTGAGACACTATCTACCATTTAATGGAAGTGAAAATATACACAAATGGTATTTATATCTCTTAATGAAAATATATAAACAGGAAAAGTTTGTTAAAATAGTTTTGTCATAGAAGCGGTTAAGAATCGGTACATTAAATGAAGCTCATATATGGACCACATCTTTTATCTGCTACCCCTCCCAGAACTGATCATCTTGCAATGGTAAACCACTTCTGGATCATCTGCCAAGAACGTATATGAACAGGTCC